AGGTTCAAATTGCCAATCACCAAGAATTTCATCAGTAACTTGTCCATTTATCCATTTGAATAAAACATGGCCATGATGCATATATTTTAACATTATATATTACGGATATAATCTCCATTCAAACTAGAATACAGCACTGCATAAAATGCTTTTTAAGGACTCTGAATGTGCCCCCTCCAAAATTTAGGTGTTATCAATGTGATAGTATTAAGAGGCATGGCCTTTAAGAGGCAATTAGGCCATGAGGTCTCCCTCATTAATAGGATTACAGCCTTTTTAAAAGAGGCTTCATGCAGCATTTGGTTAGCTTGCCCTTCTGCCTTCTGCCATGTGAGGACACAGCAAGAAGGCCCTCACCATAGACTAAATGCTAGTGTCTTGATCTTGGACTTCTAGCCTCTAAAACTGTGAGAAATAAATTTCTGTTCTTTATAAATTATCCAGTCTCATTTATTCTGTTATAGCAGCACAAAATGGACCAAAACAGACCTCTTTCTAATCACACTCAGTACCTTAAACCTGGGCAATATAAGGTCATCTGCCATTGGGATGGTGGGGTCACACACAATTACAACGCTCAGCTGCCACCTTTCTTTCTTGTTATTAGGTTGTACTGGAAGCAAAAGCTAAAAGTTTCAAGGTCTCTCACCTCTTTTAAGAAATGATGAACATTTTTTTTTTTTCAGTAGAGAAAGTACAGTGAAGCATAAATAAAATCATGCCATAGCTGTGGCCATATTTCAGCATTACAGGGGTGGCAATGTGAGCTCCAAAGAATCAGAATTCAAAGGAGGTGAAAACAGACCCTTTCTTACTTACCCGTTCCCACAAAAAACAGAAAACCAAAAACACTATAGTGATAGCAGATAGTTCTATTAAGAGCAAAACACATGATGCAGAAGAATTAATAACCACAGTCTGTTTACTTCCACACCTTAGAGAACTAGAGCAGAAATCAAGCAGGGGTTCTTAACCTGAGAGTCAGGAACTCTATGGTAGACCTTGGAAGAGGGAGATAGTGCTGCATCTAAGAAGCCTCTGAAATTGTATGTAAAACTTTGTGTGCAAAGCACTGATAACTCCTCAAAGGGATCTAAGGTTAGGAATAATCAACAAATTACCAATAGTTTGTAAGAAAATGTCCATCCAGCTTAATGACAAGGTCTGGTATAGAGTGAAATATAATTTGGTATTTAATAAATACTTTAAAATGACTATAGAAGTCTATGTGTTTACCTCTATGCTACTATCTTACTATTTTGATTGCTATAGTTTTGTAATATAATTTGAAATCAAGAAGTGTGATGCCTCCAACTTTTTCAAGATCGCTGTGGCTATTTACGGCCTTTTGTGATTCCATATAAATTTTAAAATTTTTTTTTCTCTATTTTTGTTAAGAATGCCATAGAAATTTTGATAGGGATTGGACTGAATCTGTAGATAGCTTTGGGTACTATGGACGTTTTAACAATAATAATTCTTCCAATCCATAAACGTGAGATATCTTTCCATTTGTTTGTGTCGTCTTCAATTTCTTGCACTCGTGTTTTATGGTTTTCAGTGCACAGATTTTTCACTTCTCTGCTTAAATTGATTCCTAAGTATTTTATTCTTTTTGATGCTATCATAAATAGGATTGTTTTCTTGGTTTCTTTTTTGGATAGATTGTTACTGGTATAAAAAATGCAATTATTTTTTGTATATCAATTTTGTGTTCTGCTACTCTAACGAATTCATTTATTAGTTCTAACAGACTTTTTGTGGAGTCCTTAGGGTTTTCTACATATAAGACCATGTCACCTGCAAATAGAGATAATTTTACTTCTTCCTTTGTTATTTGGATGCCTTTTATTTCTTTTTCTTGTATGACTGCTCTTGCTAGTACTTTCAGTTCTATGTTGAATAGAAGTAGCAAGAAGAGGCACC